GAGGGACCCTCTTCCCTGGCGGGTCTCGTGCCGCTTCGTCACCCATTTCGTCCCATCTCAGCCGTATTTCGTCTCACTTCGCCTATGGGAGTTGGCCCTCTGTGTCCTCCCAGTAAGAGTCTTTAAAACAATTTCCTACTATGATGTGATGCTCAGACTTGCAGATGTGGAAGGTTGGCCTACTCCCAGACTTCTAAAAAAAATGGGGAACTTAGGGGAAGCAGTATACTAAGGTATAATTAGGAATCACCAGAAAACACCACATCAGGATCTCAAACACCACTGTCTTAAAACTGGTCTATATATGCACACTTCTACATCAGTCTTACTCATCTGGTTCAATCTGTCAGTAGTTAATAGTTATACATCAGAATTAAAAAAAAAAAAAAAAGTTAACCAGAACTAAATGAACCCTGTCTCTTCAAACACAGCACAGAAGATGTGATTCATCCTGTGGTGGAGTGGAGCGGAGCGGGTTACTTGGCTGTCAACATTACCCACCTTAGGCACTGCTAAGGAAGTAATGGGTAAGTTCCTGTGTGCAAACTTGTGCAAACTTGGGTGAGCAATGTCAGAGGTGGCTCATTGCTGGTAAGCACTGACGAAACTTTCATACAATTTCACTTCCGGTATAGTCAGTGTTGAGCTCATAGCCTGCCACGGGAGGTACTGCGTAACCATTACAAAGTTCACTTATCTTTCTATTCTTGTTGGCTTTGCCCTGTCAGAGAACAATCTTGTTCAAATGGCTGTATTTCAGACTCCATCCGTATAGCAGACATGACAAAATTGCCAGTATTTATTCCAGATTCCTTCTATCATAAATGGCTTTTGCGGTATGTCACACAAAGGACACAAGCCTAATTTTATCTAGGTGTGCTTTCATGTTCTTGATCTTATCTCATTATTCGCTTGGAAACCAATTCACGATACAACACACATAAGAAATATTAGGTGATTGCTGCTGGCATTGTGGGTAATATGTATGGTGTAACGTATATACAAGGAGAGCATCCATATTATAAAAAGCAGCACAAGGAAATACGAAGACTGTAATGTTGGTGTTTAGCCAGTACCTTTATTGGCCATGTAGCAATAATTTATGGCTAGCAATATGGATAGCATGAGTATTTTTAATTATGTATACTGATTTCCTGTATAGCTTGAGAGTTTCCCTTAATCAATTTAACTAGGGCAGATCTGCTAGAAATCTATCCAACCTGGAATTCCTAGACTAGAAATAAGTAATGGAAATACAAATATTCTATAAATAGAAAACAGGTCATACACTTCCATATAGGGATCCCAATTCAGATTGGAATCCCACTACGTTGAGTGTTGTACAGTCACAAAAGGAAGATAGTCCAAGTTGAGCAATGCAGGATTCTATGCTCACTTCATTATCCATGGAACTTAGAGAATAGGGT